TCTTATATCTTATTGGATAAGATAATATGTCACTGTGGATAATTTTCTATCAAATATCATAATATAATTAGTTGTTTTAAACGATAATGTTCTTTAATTTCTGGATTAAACCTTCATTACCTTCTGAGTTCGGTTTTTATTAATTGAACCTCTATGGCAGCGCTGCGTTCAGCCTCAAGATCAAGGCTTTTTTATAACAGAATAACTGTCAGTACACCGAGCTCGACCACCAGTTAGAGCTCAGCATTTGGAACATGATGTAACTGCTCCGAATTTTGCTCCATGTACACACGAAACACATACCTATTGAATAGCTGGTGGTAGTTATTAAATTTCGTTAGTACTCGTAAATGACTTGAAAGTAGCTCGGTGGCGTAGTGGATAAGCGCTGCGGCCCGCGATCGTTGTCGTTAAGCAACTTTCGCAAGGGTCGGTCATAGGATGGGTGACCAAAAAAAAATATTATCTCTAGCTACTCCGTGCTTCGGAAGGCATGTTAAGCCGTGGGTCCCGGCTGCATTTGCAGTCTTTAATACCCTCCAATCCGCATTGGACCAGCGTGGAGGGTCATAGCCCATCCTCCTTAACCATCCATAAGGAAGGCTTGAGCCCCTGCAGTGGGGACGTAAAATGACTGATGATGATGATGATGATTTACATGAAGCCTGGTTGTGCATAGGTATCTAAGGTATGTTACCTTTGTTTAAAGAAGTAGCGAAATAAAGTAGTTGTATAATAACTTCAATGGACTTTGGCAAAGTAAAACTAAAATATTATTAGGTTTGTGAAGCCGCTTTAATGGGGTCTGTACTTACTTATTTCCTTTTTCTATTGATTTCTCTACAGGTGCACTACTAATAAAAAATCTAGTGTGCTTTCGCGGGCTGCTGTTCTACTTCGCTACAGCGGCCGCTACCAACTAATAAAGAGCTTTCTTAAACGTTCGCAATATAAACGCTATGACGTTATTATAAAGAAAATACAGATTGTCATTCATCTTTTGTTTTATTGTCGCAATATTTTAAAATATATTGAGCCGCATAAATTAATACTCATTTTAAGCACATTTAAAAAAAGTATAGATAACAATTACAGACAGAAGAGAGTGCGGTAGTCGCTGGTTCGTATCCCGGTGGTGGACATAAGTCGGTACGTACTCTCGATTGTATATCAGGGTGTACTCTAGGGACAATATTGTTTCTTTTAATTTTTCTATTTCGCTATTCTTTAAATCCATAAATCACCATATACTTCCAGATTAAACTCCCAGCGTGAAATCTCAGGTATTTACACGCGGCTTCATCAAAGATGTTTAAAATATTTCACGACAAAATTAAACTCATAAGTGCAAGTCTTCGATACGAATTTCCGTTATGAGTTTCAGAGTCTTGTAACTTCCTAATTAACCGTTAATGTTGTGCTTGAAATGCTGGTACTGGCACTTGATTATATTCATATTACGAGTATATATCTTAATTACAGATAAGTAGAAAGTTATATTTTGATAATTGCGTCCATATTATTATAAATCCCAAGTAAAAAATATACTATTATTTTCATAAAAAAAACTCTTTATTATATTTGTTCAATATTGCATTCAACTGAAAAATATCCTTAACGCAAAATGCTTATAAAATGAACTTTGTCCAAGGCATTTTAAAAAAATCTTGTTGATTTTAAAAGTATGCAACAGAGCAATAAACAAACCGTATTTAACAATTTAAAAATGTGGCGAAGATGAATATCAAATTTTAAAACCATATATATTTTTTGTAATCAAGAAACATTTAATTATGTTCTGTATTTCAAAATTTTAGACCTTGGATTTGTTAAGGTGGAGGGTGGTTCTCATTAGTTTTCTTAAATTAGTTCAAAATTATTTATTATAAAAATATAAAGGCATATAAGTTTTGCGATTGATAGAATAAGACCTTTAATTTGATGTATATACACATATTTTGCTCTTATTTACTTTATACGGCCATCTTTGGGTCAGTGACTTACATATGGTTTCACAGAACTAACGTTACATATCACAATTAAATCTTCGATAAAATATAGTTTGTTCCTCTAGAGTTTGCGATCAATATTTTCAGAACGATATATGACTACTTGGTGAAAATCGCACTAGCGAATTTTGATTTCTAAACAACGGACTGGTTATTTATAGGCACTGTCAGGGTATAGATTTCATATAAAAAAGTTCGTTGATAAAATTTTAACTAATAAGGAAATTTTAATCTGAATCTCATATGGCGGACTATCCGAGATGGCCGAGTAATTTATTTATTTAATACTTTATACACTAAAGTACAAAGGCGGACTTAATGCCTTAGGCATTCTCTGCCAGTCAACCTTTAGGTGATGTATAGAAGAATAGCCTTAACGAAAAAGGAGGAATGCACGACGTCAGAGTGATGAGACGGACAAACAAGTAGTCGATTAAAGGGCGATCGAAGATTTTTAGTGTGACTCGTGCATAAATACTGAAAGTGGGGGGTTAGATAGCTTGGGGCATTAGGTGATTCTAACAAAGAAAACAAAGTGGTCAATGCCCGCACTTCTCTACGCTTTCGCATAGGCATCCATTTTAAAAGAGAGCGATATGGGGATACATGGTCGTATTTACGAAGATTAAAACGAATCGAATGCAGTTATTTAGAATGCGGTCAAGCTTATTGAGTAGATCTGCATTCAGGTCGAGGCAGCACACATCACCATAGTCGACTATGGGGAAAATTATGGTTTGCACAAGCATTGCCTTGATTGTGGTTGGTAGGAAATTCTTAAGACGATATAAGGCTCTTAGTACTCTAGTGACCTTTTGGTAAATAGTGGTAGTTTGAATTTGCCAGTTCAGATTAAGGTCCACGTGCAGTCCCAAATCTTTCACACTGTCGCTTAATGGGATAAGAGAGCCGTCGTACATAATAGATCTAAGTTTAGCGTAGTCGATCCTACTTATCATCGTTTGGCTACCCACAAGTATAGATTGGCATTTAGACGGATTTACAGTAACGCCAAAACTTTTAGACCAACATAGAATTGTGCCAAAATCTCTGTTCAGTGCATTGATAGCGCCATTCAAGTACGAACACTGAAGTTTAAGCGTACTGAAGTTAATGAAAATTGAGAAAAGAAGAGAAGAAAGAATGCCACCTTGTGGAACGCCAGCATCCAACCCACACCAAGATGAGGAGGATTCACCTTACCGGACCGACTGCTGACGGTCCCGAAGATAGGATGAGAACCACCCAATCTCTTCGTCAGAAACCATAAGATGAGATAACATATCAAGAAGGATGTCATGATTTACTGTGTTAAATGCATTGGAAAAATCGATAAGGACAAGGGCTGTTACTTCTCCATTCTCCATTCCCACTCTGATATCCCCAGTAACTTTCAACAGTGCGGATACAGTACTGTGACCTGGTTTAAAACCAGATTGTAAGGGATTCAATAAAGAGTTATGGTAAACAAACTGAGAGAATTCCTTATGAACACAGGCTTCTAATACTTTGGATAAAAACGGAAGGATAGATATGGGACCGAATTGGTTGCGTTGTGTTGGATTGGTAACTTTTGAGAACGATTGGACGTAGGCTTTGCGCCACAAAGCAGGGAAGGTGCGGGAATCAAAGGAGAAGTTAACGATGTGACATATAGCAGGAAGAAGGTGGTCCAGGATGATGACAATCATACGGCGACTTATGCCGTCGTATCCCACAGCATTCGACTTAATCGAGAGTATAATCTTTCTGATTTCTGACATAGAGACAGGGGAGAAACGAAATGGGGAAATATTATGACGCGTAAGACCATTTATGGTAGCAACTATAGATGCAGAAGTAATATTATCCAACTTTGAAGTAGCGGAGAAATGACGATTAAGGTCGTTAATTCAATTGAAATGGGAAGGTCTATATGCCGCGATTTGCCTGTGCCTAGAGTACCCAGAAACTTTCAGACATCAGCAGAAGATGAGGAAGAAATATTATCGAGAATATGGCGACGTTTTGCATTTCGTATCATCTGATTACACCGATTCCTAGTATATTTGAAGGCATTCTATTTATCGTCAGTTCGGTCATTTTTGTAATTACGAAAAGCTCGATCCCTACGTCGCATCGCCATTCGGATACTATTTGTCATCCAATATGCCGGTAATCGTTTCAACATGACCTTCTTTATAAGTGCATGGACATCATAGATCCTCACAACAGTTTTGTTAAAGAGCTCAATCTTCGTGTCTACATTGGGAGCCTGTAACAATGAGTCCCAACAAATTTCCGAGGCATCACTTTTAAGTTTTTCGACATCCATGCACCCAAATGAACGCCTGTGCAGGATCTTGGAAATGGGTTTCGGGGGTTTTAAAAAGTAGGAAACGAAGATGAGATCATGGCGAGAAAAGCCTGGAGCAACACATTGACCATGAGATGCAGCTAAAGTGGGATTAGAGGTGAGAATTAGGTCAAGCCATGAGTCCTCGCTGTCAATGTTATGATGAGTTGCTTGAAGAGGAAAAACATATAAGTTGGTTGACCTAATAATATGAATGAGTTTACGGGACTGAGAGGAGTTAGGTGTAAGGAGATTCGTGTTAAAATCACCCATGATGACGTGATGTGCATACTCAGAACCCAAAGACTCCAGAACCACTTCGATTTCATTGAAATAGTTGACGGAAGTTGGACAATAAACTACGCCAAGGACCAATCGATTACGCCCTTTACCGACCTCAAGAAAAGAATATTCAGCACTGGTATCAGAGTTAGAGCAAGCAATAATTTTAAACGGGAAAATATTGCGTAGATAGATTGCGACACCGCCCCCTCCTCTACCGGAGCAGTCTTTGCGAATGAGGGTAAAATCTGGGAGGGTGTAGGTAGAGGATATTAAATGTGGTTTCAGCCACGATTCAGAAACCAGCACAGCGTGTACATTACGTCGAGCAGTTCGTTGTAATGAGAGGGCACACTCTGTGCATTAAAGTGACACACATTAAATAAGTTTGGCGAGTGGTCAAAAGTTTGATTCAGAAAGTCACCAAGTAGCATGTCGGTTGCAGAACAAAAACTTTCATCACTAAGAGATCCTTCAGATTCGTCACCTGAAGCATAATGAATATCGTCCAATGACATAATAAATATAACAAATTATAAACGAGTAGATATATGAAAGAAAAAAAAATGTATATACTAAAGTATGGATACGTAGATTCTATTGCAAAGGAACATCTCCACACCACCGGCCAGCTTACATCAACTTTAATACAAATGCAGGACAAATAATGCCACTTGATTAATCGTACTCAAACCAACGCTGTAAAATTTTTTAAAATTAAAAAAGAATAAAATAAGAAACAAACAAAAGAAAACTATTTGATTGAGACAAAATGACATTCACTCTAGATATAGCTGTATAGATAAAATCTTTATACAATTCATGGAAAACTACACTTGACTTTGGCATATTTACAATTGTGCAACACACTTGAGATCGTGAATTCATAATCTAAATTAGCTTGTTTTATATAAAAAAAAAGTGATATAGAGAAAATAATGAACGATTTAACCTCACAAATGCACAAATTAAAAATGACCTACCATAATTTACGAAACTTACAAAAAATAAGAAGACCGAAGATAGACAACATTTGATATTTAAGTAAGCAATATTCAAATAGAGCTAAACTAATGAATTTATTTGTAAGTCGCAAAAAAAAGAGACTTTAAAAAGGAAACTAAATTAACTACTTATTTTTGCTGGCAGGAACAAGGCGACCAGTTGCAGTTCGCGCTGATGTGGCTTAGGGTGTACAGCAGTCAAGGAATCCAGTTCTTCTTGTGTAACACACTTATGGCGCCTACCATCCGATGTTTTAATGAAGATTACGCCATCCTGTGTCCAACAGCAATGCACCCCACAGTGAAGTCGGGCTTTGTTGAAGACTGCCTGCCTCGACTTTGTGAGAAACTCCTTCACAATGATGCTGGTTCCCTTGAATTTAGTCTTCGACGTCCAGGCAGCAGATTTTAATTCAGACTGTGCAAACCTCACAAGAACAGGCTGATCACGACCTCCATTATTGGGTGGCTCACCCAACCTGTGACATACTGTCAAGAATGATTTTGTAACATCCCTTAGGCCTAATCTTGATGTGAGGATATTACACACTAGGTCTATGCAATTATCAGTCTCCGATTCTCCAACTCCCAGAATGATTAGTGCTTTGCGACAATGTCTAGTTTCGATAACATTCAGCTGTGTAATGCACACATTGATTTGTTTCCTTAGCAGTCCCAGCATACTGTATATGAGTTCCCTAAAGGGTCGGAATTCATCGGCTACTTTGGCTACAGTCTCTTTGCCAGGTCAAGCAACCTGAATCTGCATCTCGAGATCCAGTATCTTTTTAGTGAAGCACTCCTCCAAGCTCTTCTGTGCTGACACAATGTCAGATAATTGAGACATAGTAGTTAAAGTGATGTTAATCCTCAAGTATGAAACGAAGTGTGTGATGTGCTGGCAGGTGGTGTCTAATGTGCACTAATATTACATTTAGAGTAGTGCAAATGTAAGTACCATTAATTTACTTAATCAATATCACAATTAGCTTTAAATTAGACTAAGTAGCACGTTGGCGTAGAGGATAAGCGCCACGGCCCACGATTGTTGTTGCTAAGCAACTTTCGCAAGGGTCGGTCACGGGATGGGTGACCAAAAAATTATTATCTCGAGCTACTTCGTGCTTCAGAAGACACGTTAAGCCGTTAGTCCCGGGTGCATTTGCAGTCGTTAATACCCTCCAATCCGCATTGGGCCAGCGTGGAAGGTCATGGCCCATCCTCCTCCTTAACCATCCACATAAGGAAGGCCTGAGCCCCTGCAGTGGGGACTTAAAAAGGGCTGATGAGACTAAGTAAATGATTGCAATAAATTTAAATAAATTTAGCAAGACTTATAGACTTTATTTTGTTTTCTTCACCTACCAATAATTATGTTTTAAGCAATAAATATAAATAATATCACAATATGGCTAATAAGTGAAAGGGTTTGCAGCGCCATTAATCGAAAATTTGTATCGATATTACTTTTCTAAAAACAAAAGTCGGTCTCACTCACAAACATTTTGGACACTCAAAACTGATCAAATTGCCTGTCACTCACAAAGCGGTTCGAAACAAAACTCTTGTTTGGTGCCTACGACACGCTTTAACATGAACGCCAAATTTTTTGCTGCCAATTCGCTGTCAAAGCATTGGTCAAAGGCTTCTATTGTTTATTTAATATTTCTCTGAAATTCAATATCAAACTACCCTCGAAGTTAACAAACGTAATTCCCGACATTTAATGAGTGTTCGTGTTTATTTTATGTTTTGTACTATCAGCGATCGCACATCCGTTGGTGTATCATCAGAAACCACAGTGTAGAAAGTAATTAAAACTAACTCCACCGTGTCTCGTATGCGTACAGTTTTTGCTTTATCTGGTTCTGGATATAACTTTTAATTGGGCTATGGCTAGGAAAATTTATATATTGTACACTGTAGATAGTAATTGATTTACGATTGGCACAAACCGTTGTATGTGCCAAGTTTGTTGTTTTATGCTCGCGGATTGTTCGGTCCGATTCGAAACATGTTCTCGTTTTGACTGTGTTAGCTATAAAAAGTTTGATTTGTGGTTGGCCGATGTGATTAGTCAGTACTAAAGGTAGAGTTACAGTTTTTTAAAGCTTTTTTCTCTTTGTAATACTGTATTGATTTATTTTGTGCCATTATTTATATTGTTTAAAAGTTTCGAAATCCCCACGCCATCTTAGTAGCATTAGTAGTCATCTTAAGAGCCTTAATATATTTTGATGGTGATTTTAACTTAAAATGATCAATTTCGGACTTCTTGATGTCGGAATCAGAAAAATAGCAGAATAACTACTGACTGACATACATAGTTCGTAGCGGTTTCGCTTTTTGTAAAATGTGCTTTAATTTTTAAATAAATCCCAAAATAATAGAGAGAGATTTCATAAATGATGTAATTTTTGGGCTACTAGTCTAAACAAAAGAAAAACAAATGAATGTTATCTTTTATTTAGTCGTAAATATCATTAATTTAATATAATTTAAGTTTTATATCTTAAACAAAAAACTTCCAAGAACTGTTAAGAATTAATTGAGAATTCCTCATATCTACGATAATATTATTAAACTTTTAGATCAGAATGCTTAATAAGGTATTTCTTAATTCGTTTTTAAGCACAAACGTTTTATCCTATTTCAACAAAAACTATAAACGTAACTGCGAAATTACTACATAATACGATGCACTAGCCGTCCGAGTAGCGAGTTTGTGTGTTTGTAGTAAGACTCTGAATAGAAATGATAGAAAAAAGAAGGAATAATGTATTAAACTCATAATATGTCTAGTTAATTATGAGACGGTTAAGAAATTTTCATCTTTATATAAACCTGAAAAGAAAAATAAATCTTACAACAAATCTATTCTATTCTTATAAAAGCTCATTACATTTTTCGGTTAAGGAGAATGTCACTCAGGTACTATAATACTGGCTTGCAACGTGCCAGAAATATCGGGGGCTATCGTATTTCTGTTCTAGAAATGCTGAACGTCAATATTTAACGTGCACAAAAATACCTACTGAAAAACAAGAGCTCTGAATGGATTTAGCTTCCAATACATTATTTTGCAATAAAAGTTAAAATAATATGATTTTACTTAATCAATTTTGCATTAAAAATGTTATATTGATATAATAGCTGGGGCAGGTGGATTTTTCAAGCATTTTTCATTAGTTAAACTATGAATAATTGATTTATCAGTGTTTAATGATTTGGTCTTCATTAGTTCAGCATATGCAACTCTTTGGGGCAAATTCAATCCACTGACGGAGGTTTTAAAAAAGAACGAATTATTTGTAACACCTGAATTTCTTTTAGTCTATTGAGCATTAACGCTTTCATTGAAGTAAAGTTACGCCATTCCGATACCCTTTACCCAAAAGAAGATGAAATAATATTCTCTTATTGGTTTAATAACGAAACTGTTTTGCTTGAGAATGTTTACACACGTGTCATCTTTATTTACGAAATCTATTTATAGCATGTAACCTATTACTTCTCTCTTAATAACTGAGGTTCATTGTGTTATTGATTTTATAGTCAATAGTCTAAATAAAGTACCAGTTACGTGAAACCAGCACGGTTCGTTTGATGAATCGAACGTGACAGCGAATGTCCACTTCTACAGTTGGTGGCGTGAATTGAATTGCACAAGAATCATGAAGGAGGTCGATATGTGCCAATTCTAAAATAACAGCGAATAATATCTACGGAAGTAAAATTTTAACTGACAAAGAATAACATTTTATTACTGCATTTACTTTTTCAGAGCACAACAATCTTTTTGGTTCGTTACTCTTCAGATACAAACTTCTAAAATTTTAATAAAAGTAAATCCAAAGGCGCTAACCTAGCGCCACTATATATGTCACTCAATTAATTTGCGAAGATTAATATGTGCCATGAAAAGTATACTCTTTCAATAATATCAACTTTAAACAAACTCTTCATGTGTAAAATTTGAAATTAAAGTCAATAAATTTTCTATCATTAAATAATTTGATGATTTTTGATGGTTAAAATAAAAAAAATAATTTTAGCCCCTAGATTTCATTATAAAGTATCAATTTTAAATCACATTTACTCGATTTAAGATCCTTTCATAATTTAATAATAAGATCCTACGCTCTGACAGACTGTAGACAAAAATTAACTCCAGTACCCAAAGTCAATTGGAAAAGTAGCGTCGAACCACTGAACCGGTTGTGATGAAACTTTAAACAGCTTTCCCAACATCGCTCGAATGGCTGTTGAAGTTAAATCATTGGAAAGTTAGTAAAGAACGCCTCGGGGAGCAGTCATTGTCTCCATGAGCGATTACACGGGATCAGATTCCAGAAGTAATCCTTAAATTAAGGCGGGAACGGGGATCTCCAAGAAGTTTCGTTACAAAGTTGTGCCTTTTTGATAAACTTTCAAAAAGTATTTGAATAAAAACGCAGGAAAATATTTTTTTTATAAATTAATATCAGTTTCATATGAAACTGTTCATCAGTAAGTAACTACTAAATAGTGTAGACTGCTTCCAATTAAGTTGTACTTTGTGTAAACAATATGAGTTAGTCATTTAAACTATTGTAATTTCAAAAATATTACGGAAATCTAAATGAAAACTAGTTCGATCAGTAGTCGGAATGATCCAAGGCAACTTATAATAGAATTTTATTTGCTTTATCAACTAACCCATAAATTAAATCCTAGTCTCTAAATATGACGAGACTATGAAAACTGGCATATAGCAAATTAATCATGAATGAAGTTTTTCGAATAAAGGAAATAATTACTAAAAAGTTTCGATGAAATTTAGAAACATATTTTTTAATGATCTTGGAAAAATATGTCAGATCAATTGATTATAGTGAAGGCAAAAAATATTTGCGAAAAAGTAGTATAATCAAATGAAAGAAAGAAAAGTTATCCTCTTTTCACACAGCATATAGATTAAATAAGAAGAAATTCTAAAATTATACATTCACATAATGTCTATCATACAAATGTTAAGTGGAACCCAATTTGTTTTATCACTGTAGAAGACGTACGGCTGCATGCCGCTTCTGAATAAAATTTACTTACTTGCAGTTACCATCTATTCAGAATTTGTCGGATAATTTAATTAAGGTACCTATGTAATAATAATTTTGTTGTTTAATGGCTCTCACATTTTCCTAAGGGAGATTTATATCTTAGTTCGAAATTAAAATCGGTAAGTTTAGGTACTAAAAGGCTATATTATTGCTTCAAAATAGGGTAATATAATTAATACTCACATAATATATTAACATGTTTTTATATAAATTTAATACACGGTTTCTGATATTTGTTAATTCTTCTAGTTTTGCACCGCATAACTTAACCTAATATGGCGTTCTTGTATTCTACAAGTCCAATAAATAGTACCATCTTTTGCTTTAATTACTGTTACCTTACTTGCCACTAGAAATCGCAGTAGAGCGCAATATGTTGTGCCGACAAGCTGTCTTGCATCTTGATGCATCATATTAAATGCAATAAAGAAGATTTTTATTCCACAACCGTAGTTGATACTTGCAAATAGTATGTGACAGTCAAAATAATAAATAGATCAGTAAAATAGGACAGGTGAGAATTACTGATATTCGATTAAGAGGTCTCTACATGACCTAGATCATCTTATCGCTAAATACTTAAAAGCATAATGTAAAAAACTTACTCCATTGTAGTTAAAAATAATTGTTTACAATAATACATCATTAAAATTAAATTTGGTATTATTATTTAATCACATGAGAAATAGATTATGCATTTTGCATTTTTAAATGATTTTTTTGTAGTTAAATAAAAACGTTATGAATTAAAGTAGTTAATAATGACTAGCGACTTCTTGGCTTTTTACGGTATTATTACTTTTTAAATGTTATTTTTGTTATTAAAAGTTGTGAAGTTCCATGCGTCTTTTCCATTCTACAGATAAAAGAAATACAGAATGCTGGTAGAAATGCATAAACTATTGAAAATAGTTGCAATAAAACCACGTATTCCAATTTTCTTCCAGAGTTTTCTAACTCTTGCTATTTATATGTAGTATTTAGCTTTATGCTAACAGTATTGCTTCTCATAATACAAGTTAAATCCAATCAATGTTATGTTGTATTGATTTTCTTTATATTTGAATGTTGTTTGCAGGAGCTCACAAAAGAATATTGTGGATGCAATTTACGGTAAGCGAATGCTAGTACTGTAATTCTATATTTCGCGATACAATACAGTTCGCAGTTTTGTGTTTTTATTCATAATATTCTTAGATGAATTTTGTAAATTTTCCAATATATGCATTCCCATTCCTATTGCAATAACCTACTTAATGCAAAAAGATATTTCAGCTATTGCTTAGATTTCTTATTGTTTTGCGTTTTAGACAAATAAGCATCCATGTTACAAGTATTAATTGTTTGTGGCAGTGGAATCACACTGTGATTCTCACAGTACAGCATAAGATCAGACATATAGTGTTATTATAATATGGAACATTCGATGCGCAGATCTGATTTGGTTTAGGT